TTAACCGCTATCTTAAAATATAGCTTTTGTTTGACAACATTTTGCACAAATGGGATCAAAAGCTTGAGCTTCACTGTTTTTCGGACTCTTACAATTTTTTCAATGAAAGAGTTTGTAGAGGAGACTTTTTAGAAAAGTTTATGATGTTTTATCTTTAGATTTTGTCTATCTATACTATCATTTAACGGTCAGTTATTCGGGAGATAATTTCTTAAAAATAAAGAAACATATTCACTACCTGATACAAATACCTATTGAAGAGTCACGACAGTCACACGTTTTTAGGAAAATAAGGACTAAATCTACTTTGCACCTTGGAAACTTGTACTACATTCTTACATTGCATTCTAAATTTCAATTTTGGATACTTTACACTTAAATTCTTAGTTTTGGCTACTTTAGATCCTAAACTTTGAATTTTATCCCATTTAAGTCTAATCACAGACAATATTATTAAAATTAATGAGATCAATGATAGTGCAAATTAATGATAATGTATTGTTTTATTCTACCTGCGATCCCTTGACTCTTTTTCGTCATTTTCAGTACATTGTAATTGATTTGTATAGTTTGAATCAATAATATTGTTAAAAGATTAATGACATAAAAGATAGTGCAAATTTATAAAAATATATTGTTTTGTTCTAACTTGGATACTTTGGCTCCTTTTGATCACATTCAACTTATGGGGTCCTTTATATCGATAATTTTATTAACATTGTCATTGATTAGACTTAAATAAGATAAAGTTAAGAATTTAGGAGGTAAAGTATCCACAATTACGAGTTTAGAATGTAAAGTATCCAAAATTAAAATTTAAAGTATAAAGTAATATAAGTTTAGGGATGTAACATAGAGTTAGTTCGGAAAACAACTAATTTAGATGATACAGGTGAAAAAATCTAATGGCTTTTAAATCTATGTTTGGATCGAGGGATTTGGGTGGATTTGATTTCAAATCCTCTTCCAAATCCGCAAGATGTTTGGATAACTGAGAATGAATTTGGACTTGAAATCCATCAATCCTGTAAGTGTTAAAATTGGGAATATTTGAAATCCACCCAAAACACGTGTCATTTGAAATCCATCTCTTCACATATTAATCTATTAAACTGTTTTATGTCATGGTTGAAACTCGAAAGAAGAGAAAATGGTCAATAGTATGGTCAACGCCAGCTATTCTCTTTTGCGACTGTCACTACTGTGGCACCTCCTCTGCTAGCCTGCTGCTGCTTCCATGGCGGCATGGACCGCATGGTTGCTGCTTGCTAGTTCCCTTTAAAGCTTCTTTTTTTTTTCTTTCTAAAAAAATTTGTGGAAAGATAAATGATAGAATAGAAAAAAAGAATAAGGAAAAAGACTGAGAGGGTGCTGTTGCTACGGCACGAGAAGGGCATGAAAAGATTGAGAGGGTGCTGTTGCCATGGCAGCAAATCTGTGATTCTGATAGCTCAAAGCTTTGGTTTAGGGCTTTGAGGATCAGACGCTTGAGGATAAACGAAAAACTAAAAATTCTTTTTTAGCCCCTTAACTTTTATTTATTTGGATTTCTACCCCAATTGTCTTATTAATTTGGAAAACGAATTATTTAAACGAGTTATTTCAAATTAATGCGGATTTCAAGCGGAATCATTTCAAACACATTCCATCAAATCCATCCTGAAATTCAAATCAATTGATCCAAATGGACCAACATTCCCCACTATTTCAAAATAAACTGACAAATTTGAAAGTAACCCGCATAAATGAAAGCATCTTATGATACGAACCTTCACTTAGGGAAACACATTTTATCTAGTCTGAATGGCTTATGATAATCATTGAACCAGCGATGCTTTGTTAACGAGTTGCATCTACTTCAAACACTGATTTCTGCATTTAATTTAGCTAATATATTCCCCACCATATCTATGCATCTTATTACTGAGTGCTATATATAATAGCGAAGCCATGAACTCCAAGAAGCAGCTGCACTTAATACTCAAATTAGTGAATGCCATCAAAAAGTGTATCAATAGCTAACACTTTAATTAAACACTAGTCCAACAGGAGCATGTTGCTCATCTTCTTTCAAACCTGTGGAAACCAAGCGTTTGATCTCCGGGATGATTAATGGATATGTTGTAGTGCTTGCAACCACACTTTACTGTTCTTTGACTCAATGAACGTAGGACTTGATGTTGTATGAAGCTTTTATTTCACTTATCACCACTGGAGATTTTATGACATGGGTTTTAAACCAATTTCCTTTGATGTGTAATACTCAAGAACTACTATAAAATCTTAACTAAAGAAATTATTTTGAATTAAGCAACTTTAGAAAATTAAAGCAATAGGACTCTTAGTAGTTGTTGGATAGAGATTGAAGTCCTAGTGAATGCTAACAATTTAAGTTGGGTGTATCCTTACGGGACAAAGTGTAACATACGATATGTTATTTTCTTTTATCAGATACTAAATACGAGTGTGAGAAAGGGCGCGAAATCCGACTAAGAGATTGGAGGATCGTGTAGGAGAATCACATCCAGACCCTTGACCAACTAAGGTGCTATTTGATAATCTAATTTAATATTTAAATTTAATGGATTCAAATCTTAACATGTTTAACTGCATTTGATAATAAAAAATAAAATATCTAAATTAATTAAATAGTACTGAACTTTCAAGATAAAATTTATTTCAAAAAATAAGTGATAAGTACTTATCACTTAATCTAATACACATTCAAATGTACGTGTAGAAACCAAAATTTTCTCAAAAATTTTGTTTAATCTTATTTTTATTGTATTATTATTATTATTATTATTATTGTGTAAATAATCATTTTATTTTTATTTTTATTTTTGTAGGAGAAAAGAAAAGAAAAATGGGATTTTCAAAATTGGAAAAATAGTAGAGATTTCCTTTGTTTTTAACCCAATCAAAATCCAACCAAAAACCCAATCAAAAAAATTTCACCCAAAACCTAACCATAAATTCACCCACAATCCAAATAAAACCCATGCAAAAGCCCAAGCCAAACCCAACAAAAAACCTGGATGAAAAGAAAACAAGATAAGGCCCATCGGCCCATTTATTATTTTTCAAAAAAAAAAATCTCTGCAGCTTCACGCGCGCGTTTCTTCTTCACTAGCAATCGCAGCAAATCAGAACCAGTACAAACAGCTGGATTTTTTGGCAAATTTAGATTCGTTTTTGCATCCAGTTTTCTTTCCCCCATAGATTAGCTAGTACTAGGACACCTTATTACCCAAAATCTACCAAGAAACAGCTGTCAAAAATCAATTAAAGGGACCGAATAAAAAAAATCCTAGTTAAATCATCTCAGCCTTTGTTCTTAGGGTTTAATCAATTTTTTGTTTCATTTAAAAGGCTAAGAGAGAGTCTTTAGGGTCAAGAGGAAGGGTTAGAGAAGTTGGCTAAGCAGCCGAAGGGCGAGAAAAAGAGGAGAAAGAGAAAAAATTTTTTTGCAGATTTTCTTCCCGAAAACAGGGTTGGTGAATTAGCTCTGTTCGTCGCCCTATTCCGATATCTTCCAGGCTCCTTTTGAGGAGATCTTTGCTTCTGCACAATCTAGGATCATCAAAGGGCAACTTTCATTTTGAAAATTTCCTTAAAAAAATCCCTAAATCGTTCAAATTCAAACTTGAAGTTGCTACTTCATCAGCACTTTGACCTTTGCGACAAGAACTTGTTTGTTTTATTTTTTGCATTTGAGAGCTTTTTTCTTGAGTTTCTCCACGTTGGTTCAAGTCCTCAGGCATCATTAGGTAATTATAACATTTTCTCTTGGCTGATTCAACGCTTGGCATGAAGTTTAAGCCATCATTTGAATGTTTGGGGATCTGGTTTGATGATTTGAACAAGTTCGCAAGGTTATAAGGATCATGCTTGTACCAAAACTCGATTCTAAATACTCTTGGAAGTTGTTTCCAGTGAGTTGGCCGGAAAATTTCCAGCTTCTGGCGGACCTGTTTTTGGTTCCACCAGAAGCTAGTTCATGTTTCTTTTTTTTTTTTTTTTTTGCACTTTGTTTGTCTTTTTCTGTTTGATCCTTTAAGTGTTGGTGTTAGCTGTTGGGTTTTGTTAAAGAAAATGGGCTAATGTATTATACTAGATTTGGTTACTACAAGAAATATTATATTTGGAGGCGCAACAAAATGATGCAATAGGAAACTTTTAGAGGCACTTAGACTATTGAGGTGCACACATCAAATGTCTACTAAACTACTCGTTTGGAATAGGTTGGAGGCTTTTTTTAACGTCATGTTTAATGAATTTGATGCATTCACAATTGCCATGATAGAAATTGCAAATAGGCACACACTAATGCCTCCAAAGATGCCCTATAAAGGCACTTTACTTCGTATCATTTTTGCCCTTTTTAGGACACTTTTACGTGTTGCCAAAAGGTAATTGTCTAGGCACAATGAAGTGTATTATATACATTAATGGAGGCAGTTTATAGTGTAGTGTTTACCTGTCTTTCAAGGCATTTTCTACCATTGTAAAAGGAATCTCCAAACACTCAAAGAGTGTCACGATATGTGGTTTTACTAGGTGCATTAGTTTCAATGTAGGCATTGGCAAGTGCCTCAATAGATGTCTTTTTTTTGTGCAATTTTCATCTAAATTTTCTACTCTAATCTCCTAATACAATACGCCAAACACATAATATGCAATTGTAAGACAGCCACTATGCCAAAGAATATAAATCTGCTTGAAAGTAAAAAACTGGTGACATCCTAAATAAAGCAAAAAGTTCCACAAATTTGAAGTTAATTCAAAAACTAGCATTAATACTTCTTTAAACAAAAGGCTGTCATCCAACTCTTGCAATAGAATCCAGCAACATTCTCAAGAATATAAAATATTCCACAAATTTGAAGTCAACTCAAAAACTAGTATTGCTTCTCTAAACAAAAGGCTGCTGTCCAACTCTTGCTTCTCTAACAAAAGGCTGCTGTCCAACTCTTGATTCTCCAAACAAAAGGCTACTGTCAATCCTCATGATTCTTCACCTATAAAATTAGTAGATTAAGTAAGAACACCACTTCATTATCCATCCAACTTACAAATATTTGTAAAGAAAAAAACTTGAACAATCTTGTGTCAAAGTATACCAATTTCAGTGGCCAAGCAATCGGTGCACCAAGTGCATCTTCAATTGTTTGCAATAGCCCATAAGGCCTAATCAATTGTTCATTGCGTTCCATCACGATTTGTACTAGTATTTCACACCAACATGGTCCTAATGGTTGTCCACCAACAACTTTAGAAGGATCAATTCCTTGGAGGCGACCAATAGCTAGACATTTTGTTGGATCAAACAAGCTGAAAATATCCACCCAATCACCTTCCTACAAGATAATTTGAAGTCATAGAATTGAATTAGGTAGATTTATTTTTTAAAAAAATTTGGTAGAGTTTCCCCTGCATTTTGAGCATTTCTCCAATTTTCAGCAATAAAACTTAATAACCATGACTTTACTAAGTTGAAATTACCATGTTTTACTATTCAACATAACCAAACAAAATAGCAATTTAATTAATCAACAAGTTTCAAACAACAAAAGTGAGTATCCTCATATGGTATAATCACAATAAATTCTTGAAAAATAATCATGAATATACCTGAAGAGAATGAGCACCCATAGGAGATTTTGAAACATGATTAGAGGACGTTGAATTTATCGAGCCACCAGTTTTTGAGCCACTATTTTGCTGCTGACACACCATTGCTTTGAGCTCCGCAAGTTCTTTGGCTTGGTCTTTCAGCTGCTGATCTTGCTCAGCAAATTTATCTTCCATCTTAGAAATTGCTGCCTTTTGCTCCATAACGATACGCTGACAAGTGCTGCGACTAGGTACGTTACCCCATTTGTCTGATGGTGTCACACCTAGACCATACATGCGCACACGCCCATTGTTATCTTCCCCAAATACTTGAGCAAATGCATCATTACGACCAACATCATCATTGGAACCAGGGGGAAGTTGGCTAACTTTTTCCTTCAAAGCTTGTTGTATTTAAAATCCAGAAAAAATTCAATATTACTAAAGTCGATTATCTTACATTAATGAAGATAAAATTAGTCCTAAGTTAGTAGACAATTTAAGTCATTTAGAGTACTAATTTCATCAACCAATTAATAACTTACTAATGTAGCTGCAACGTCATCATTTCCCGGGTTTCCGTTTGAGTCAGTATAACAGTGTTCGAACATATCAACTCGTGATGGGAGATGACCTAATTTTTTCATCTATAGAAAATGAAGTCTTCATAAGACCACTAGGTGATACAAGAAAAAACTAAATGAAACTAAAAGGTTTAAAAGATTTACCAATTTCTTTCGAATTTGAGCATACGATTTCTTCCCTGTCTTATGATTCATTGTTTTCTTAGCCCGACTCATCTTATTCTTCTCGCTGGTATTCTGAAATTATAGAAAAATAGTGAAAACTTATAATCTCAACATAATGGTTGATATTTAATAGTTAAAACAGTTATACCTTTGTTTCCTCTAAGCTCCAGTAAGCCAGAAGATTTCTCCACTGATCTTTCAAGATCCGCTGATCCCTATTGTTAATTTGACTCTCAATGGATTCATTTGGATTGTAATATTTTGCCTTTAAAGCTGATTTCCAATTTCTCCATTTTTTGCCGATTGATTTCAAAGTCCAAAAATCTGCACCTGGAGGAAGACGAAATTTTTCCTACAATAACACCTCAAATACTTAGATCCATATTTTTGTCATATAAAGGGTACAGCTGTATATTTGCATCAAGCAAAATGTGCATTACCTTCACCAGTACAAGCATGTCTTGCTTCTTATCATTTGTCATTTCACGCCAATCTGTCACGTCTAGAGGAGCATACTTTCCATTTATTGCTATTGTTCATAAGAACTCAGTAAATTTGGACTTGTTCTTGCCAACAGGCTCACCATCCTTATCAAATCTAACTTTGTACCGATGACAACTACTAGGTTTACCCCATATTTTTGTCATATATGTTGGCCCTCTAGTTTTTCTTTGTGAATTTTCATCTGCATTTTCTTCATCTATAACCATGAAATATGACGCCGGTGAATTTCATTACCAAAAGAAACTAGTAGAACTAAAAGTTTTGAAACTGGATCTCAAGAATGAAAATCAGAACTGGGCATGACTTATTAGAGATGTACCTGTAGAGTTAGGCTCCTCAATGTGAATCTGATTTTCAGCTATATCCTCGTGTTGATCAACAAGTGTATTTCCAGTAATCTTCGGTCTTTTAGTCCTTGCCATTCCTACAAATAAAAACATTTAACAAATAAAAGAACACAAATACAAAAAGGATAGCAAAATGTCAAACGAATATGATAATAGAAAGGCTACAATTAGACTGAAAATTTTCATCTACTAACAAATCAATTTTAAAGTGCAAGTAAGTAAGTTAAAACAGAAATTTTAAAATGGACAAATGCAAAGACACAACAAGGTTAATCTGAATTTGCATCTACAAAAAAATGCATGTGAAATTGCAACCACGTTTATAGTTACAACTTTTACAGTTTTAATAGCAAAAACCAAACATTTCAACAATTCAGCCTAGTGGAGTATTTCATCTCCATCATCTTCTCGAACCCATCGAATGTCTTCATTCTCATTGTCCATTTGAGTTGTTGAGGTAATTGTGCTCTGCAAATACATCTCAATATCACATACGGGGTCCATCATAAACTCATTCCTAGGAGATGTAGCAACAACAACACTCCAGCCTTCAGCTAAAGGGTCTTCAACATAAAAAACTTGTGAAACTTGGGTTGCTATCACATATGGCTCAGGGTGAGCCTTTACATTCTTGAAGTTGGCCAATGTGAATCCATCCTCATCTTGCTTTAATCTTTTGCCTTTTGATATCCAATCACATTCAAATAAGGTGAAAATTCGGCCTTCAGTGTAATTTAACTCAAGGATACCATAGTAAGCCAAGTCACTTAAAATTGGATTATTATCTTTAGTACTCGAAAAGCTTGATGTTGTTGCATTGACAAGAACCCCACTATTCTGAGTTTTCCTCTGAGATTCTAATTGTCTTGTATGGAAGCGAAAGCCATTGACAAGAATCTTTTGATATGTTCTCCCCACATTATTTGGACCCCTAGCCAGAAGTTTCAAATCTTTGGAGATGTCAACACCATCAGCCACTTGAATCTGCTTAACCTATTATATACAAAATGTAACAATGACAAATTTCTTCTTTTATGCATAAAAAAAAAGATAATAGAACCTGTAAGATTGTTGAGCTTACATGGTCCGAAAACCAATCTGCAAAGTTCTCACAATGAATACGCTCAATGACATGTTTTCCAGCACATGGATTTTGCTCCTCCACCATTTTATGGTGTTGGCTGCATATAGAAACTCACTAAGTATTTAACATATATAATTTTTTGAATTGAAAGGAATTTACTTACTCAACATATGGCTTGATGTGGTCACAGTTAAATAGCACATATTGATGTGCTTTTCTCAAAATTTCATTGCTGAAATTTGTTAGAGTTCCTTTTCCTAGTGGACGACATGAACTGGAAAATACGTCGAAGCCTTCACTTGAGGTGTTGCCCACATCATCATTTCTACTTGTCCGATTAAACTTCGTTTCAACATAATCAGCTAGGTATAAGGAACAAAAATTCAAACATTCCTCAGCTAAATACCCTTCAGCAATGCAGCCTTCTGGTCGACTTCTATTTCGGACGTAGGAATTCAAAGTTCCTAAATACCTTGACAAGGCAAGTTTTAATTCAGGTTTAGAATATTGAGATGAAGTTAATGATAAAAAATGTCTAAAATTTTCAAAATACTTCACTTAAATATTTCATGAGTACCTTTCTATAGGATACATCCACCAATAATGGACAGGCCCTCCTATTTTTGCTTCGCTAACCAAATGAACAGCTAGATGTACCATCACATTAAAAAAGGATGGTGGAAAAATCCTTTCTAATTGACAAAGTATGATACCAATCTCTTTTTCCAAATGAACTAAATCTGCTGGATCCAAAACTTTGGAGCACAACTTGCGAAAATACCTGCTCAATTTGATCAAAGGAGAGCGAACTGCTTTTGATAAAGTTCTGCGCAGAGCTATTGGGAGAAGCTGTTGCATCAAAATATGGTAATCATGACTTTTTAATCCAGAAATTTTTGGTGGCTTTACTTTAACACATCTAGAAATATTTGCTGCGTAGCCATCTGGAACTTTTATCCCTTTCAAAACTTTGCAAAATATCTCCTTTTCCTTCTTTTTCATTGTAAAGCAAGCTGGAGGCAGAACACTCCTACCATTTCCCTTCTCAATGGGATGCAATTCTGATCTTATACCCATATCGTGAAGGTCAAGACGTGACTTTTTATTATCTTTGGTTTTTTCCAGATTCAACAATGTAGCCACAATGATCTCACAGATGTTCTTCTCAATGTGCATAACGTCAAGATTATGACGTATCATATTGTCTTTCCAATAGGGCAAATCAAAGAAAATACTTAATTTTTTCCAATTAAATGGCAATTCTGGATTGTCACTAACTGTCTTCCCAAGTTTAATACTATAACCAGCTAACTCATCTAAAATTGTAGACCCCATTAACCTTCCTGGTGGTTTTCCATACTCTACAGCTCCATTGAAAGATTTAGCATCTTTGCGAAATGGATGGTTCATTTCCAAGTACCTTCGATGCCCCATATAGCAATATTTTCCCCAATTTTGTAGATGCTATGAACATGTGTATTTATGGCATACAGGACATGCAAGTTTTCCTTTAGTGCTCCATCCGGAGAGGATTACATAACCTGGAAAGTCACTAATGGTCCATAAAAGTGCTGCACGAAGTTGAAAGTTTTCTTTTCTGGATGCATCATATGTATTCACTCCAACATCCCACAATTCCTTTAATTCTGCTATGAGAGGTTTTAAATATATATCAATATTATTTCCTGGTGCAAATGGACCGGGTATCAATAATGACAACATAAAGTTCGGTTGTTTCATACACATCCATGGCGGCAAATTATATGGCATCAATATTACCGGCCAAGTGCTATGAGTTGAACTCATATTTTTGAATGGGTTAAATCCATCTGATGCTAGGCCCAACCTCACATTACGAGAATCTTGAGAAAATTCTGGATGATGAAAGTCAAATGTTTGCCAAGATGGAGAATCAGCAGGGTACCTCATGTTACCATCCTTAGTACGACCTTCTGCATGCCATCTCATATGGCCTGCAATTTTGGAGGACATAAATAGGCGTTGTAACCTATGTTTTAGGGGAAAATGCCATAAAACCTTATGCGGTATTTTTCTTCCCTCACCAGTCGGATCATTTTCAGATTTAACCCATCTAGATTCTTTACATGTTTCACAATGCTTTCTTCTTGCATCTACCCCCCAATACAAAGTGCAGTCATTCGGACATGCATCATATTTATCATACCCAAGTCCTAATTCCTTCATTAACTTTTCAGCTTCATAATAAGACTTAGGCAAACCATCCATCGCATCTGGAAAGGCTTCTTTCAACAAATCAAGTAACATATCAAAAATTTTGTTGCTGAGTTTACCAAGGCATTTGAGGTGAAGCAACCGAATCATAAAGGACAGTTTTGAGAATCTTTTACATCCAGAGTAAAGCTCTTTGTTAGAATTATCAATTAGATTGTAAAACTTTTCAGCTTCTACATTGGGCAATTGGCTTTTGTATTCAGTTCCATCTATCCTTGTATAATCTTGTTCAGGAATTCCCATTGCATCATGAACCAAACCATGCATGTCATCAAGTTCATCCTGTACCCCATGTGAGATATCATGGGAAGTAGGTTTTGGTGCATTAGAGTAAACAAATTCTCCATGAGCTGCCCAATGGGTGTATCCTTTAACAAAACCATAAACTTTCAAATGAAGTTCTGCATTCGCCCTGGTAATACATACACCACACTTACATTCTTTACATGGACATAATATCATCCCATTTATACTTGAATTCTGGAATGCATAATCTAAGAATTTTTGCAAACCATCCCAATATGCTTTGCTTCGTCTATTCTTTTGCATCCAAGTTTTATCCATATTCTGTAACCATGACAAATTTAACCTTAAAATATACACATACATACATATACATATACATATATAAGCAAAAGAAAGCAATTAAGAATAATATTAACAAAGAGCATCACTCATACAACAAAAAAATTATTAGGATACCAAGAAGCTATTTGGAAGTCAACGAGAAGGTCACTGTTTGAGATAAAAGCACAAGACATGAGCAAACAGACTGAACCCCAAAGGTTTTCCACTACTAGCCATTTATCACGTGTCACCAAGTAAACAGTTTTTTACACGAATCAATGTTAAGAATAAAATTTGCAGGTCATATAATATATCTACTGCAATGACACTCCAGTTTAAAAAAAAATTAAGAATCCAAATGACCAAAAGATGAAAATGAATGTACATTACAGGTTCAAACAAATGAACAAATTTAATATCATATATGTAACTTAATCTAATTCCTAATAAAAAAGAACACAAGAATATAAGTTGGCTTGTACCTCTAGCGAAATCAATGTGCAACGTCTTCAAAATGATTTCTTTTCACAGATAGCTATCTTCAATTCAAACCTGTGGTGAAACATTAATGAACTTTAGTAAAATTTTAATATTTTGAATAGGTGGTATATGTACTTCTCTAGTTATTCAAGAAGAAAAATAACATCAGCTTGCAAATTTCTTGAAGAATATTTTTAAAAAATGAGAAAGAACCAAAAGTGCTGAATGACTTTTCCTAATTATTCTGAAACAAACAGAACAGGGCATGAAAATATAAATGCACCAACATATATAAATGCATCAGCTTACTATGCAAACAGAACAAGGCATGCACATTATTATGAAGCAAACAGAACAAGGCATCAGCTTACTTTCTCTATGTACATATATAAATGCACCAACATATACATGAAAATGATCCAAGGCATGCACATTTTCCCCATGTGAACAGAAAACCACAAATGCAAATTATTCTCATTGAATAACGTTTTCATAAAAAGCATTGGGATAGCAGGAATTTTATCTAAACTCAAGAAATAAAAAGATTTTATGTTCATGTTTGAGGGACCAACTTCGCTTTACAAGTTAAAATTTAGAAACCTCTGTATTGGTGCCAATTATTTTTCTGGTAAACTTAATTGCCATATTACCATAATATGAATCAAGTTTGGAAACTCAACTACAACTCAAACAATTGCTAACAGTTAACTTTCTTCCCAATTCACTAGTTCTAACTTTGCCAAATTTTACATGTTTTTCCGAAACCAAATGACATGAACAGTACACCATCTTTGACATTCTTAGTAGTTACTAGTCAGTAGAAGTAAAGCACTTGGGATTCTATATCCTATATTTTGTGCCAGCCCAGTTGCACTAACGTAGGAATAGAAACCAATTCCCAAGTTCCAACTCGGTTGAGAGAAGCATTAACTACATAATCATAATGTCCTGATTCAAGGCATCAAAAATAATTTGTTATCAATTATATGAATCGTACGTTTTCCAATTTTGTAACTAATCTAGACGATTTTTTTTCTTTTCTTTTGTTTTTGGGTATCAATTTTTAACTTCTTCGGGCCAATGAGAACTGGCTGGATCACTCGGAGACAGCCCTTTTCTTTTAACATGCGACTCTCGTTTATTGCATTAGTTTTCCTCTTCCAATACTACATTTGAAAACGAAAGGGTAAGAAGCAATGGAATCAGTACATTTGGGAAAAATTGTGACATAATATGGCCAGGCGTTTGGTTCTTTACAGACAAAAATAAAAGTCTTATGGTTTTTAAAAGAGAAAAAGGAGCTTTTCGCAAGTGAACAAGAGTTTCCAGATTTTTGGATTTCACTGACCAGTTTAGGCAAAATGCATATATCTTGGTGTAGGAAAATCCGATTGAGGTGCCATCAGTGGCATCTGAAACTAGATTCATGGGCCTTTGTTCTGAAGAAATTTCATATTTTTCCTCCATGCGTACTGCTGTTCGTGACTCCTCAAAGTAGGTTGTCCTGCTGAAATGTCCTGTCCTTCATGAAATTGAAACCTTGACTTGGATCAAACAATTAGCTTGTTTGTGAATTGAATTCCTGATTTAAATTGTGGTTGGATGTGATTGAGGGTTGTCAAAGGCAATGATTGATGGAGCCTTAGCCATTTGAATAATTTTATATAAGTGTTTAAGTGTGGTGAAATTGAACTGCTGGACTTGTTTGGAGCTAATATGTTTATTTCGATGTGATATGAACTTGCCAAACACCAAGTGCTAATGATTGACGAAGCCTTGGTTATATATTTTTGTTCAAATGAAATTGACTTTGTTGAAATCTAGGGCTAATGATTGAAGAAGCCCTAGTGACTTGCTTTTGAGATGTGATCTTGATTTGCTGGAAAATTTAAGTTGTAACGTGAATTCGATATGGGATCGAACTTGTGAAATTTCGTGTCGACCCCACAAATCCGTGAATGTTTAAGAAACTATCTAGATATTTTGCGCTTAGCCTTAATTGATAAAACCTAGTATTTTATGTTAAAGATAAAAGTTTCGTGCAGGGATTTTTTAAACCTTGTCAACTCGATATTTCTTCCTTTAAGCTTAAACTAGTCTTATTATCTTTAGAAAATGATTTCACTAGTCCTAAAACCCTAAGCCTTGATCTATTTCCTTTTCTTTCCTTAAAAATTGTTCTTGGCTAATTGTCTAGAGGAAAATTTCCAAATACAAGATTTTAGTGACTTTAACTAAAAATAGCAGAAAACCTCCTCGGCAAGAAAATTTATTCTAAATAAAATAGTACTAGCCGCACTCGTATAGAGAAAAATATTTTTAAGGAAAGCCATATAACACATTTCCTACTTTTACTAAATTTCAATCCTAAGTGTATGGTCGAATTGTTTCAAGTAAATAATACTAGTTACCCTCTTCTAAGGAAAACTATAAGGAACATTTTTACTACTTTTGTCAAGCTTCAACCTAAATAGATTTTTGAAATTTCTTGAGAAAGTAAACTAGTATTATATTAGATAGTTCCCTATTCGAATAAGTTTAAAAATTGAATAGAAAACTTATAGTTTCAAAATTGGTATTCTAGGATATTGCGAGGACGCGGAATTCGATCCCCAACTTGACATCTGAACTTCACTCTTGGTGAGTGTCCCTGCCTGTTCTTTTCCTACCTGAATTAAGTGCTTTCTAGACTCGATAAGTGATAATTTGCAAAACTAGTTTTTGATCCATCGAAATGAGCGGTGTGTATTTTATCACACTAGCCGTTCGAGTGGTGACTTGCGTGAATCATTTTCCTCCTGAATCCTTGAATCTAAATGTAGTTGCGTCGTTGGGTGAATCCCTCGACTTCTGAATCCAACTACCATGAATCTAAACGTAGTTACGTCGTTGGGTGAATCCCTCGACGCATGAATCTAACTACAATAATGTCGTTGGGTGAATCCCTCGACCAATCATCTACGGGTATATCTCGAGTATACTGCGTCCTTAGTCGGTGAGCGGGCCCGGGACAGGGGTATGAATGGTGACGGGTTAGGTATCAAAATGAGACGCTCTACATGGATTATAGGTAGTGAGAGTTGACGGAGGGTCAACTACGATAAATGGTGATCAAGCGGGGAAAATGGCTCCTGAGAGCCCCTGTATCCTACCTTGTGCTGTTATACGCTTTCCTAATTGTTCAATTTGTTTAAGTTATTACTCGCTGTTGGATTTACGTGACTGCATGTTTTGGGGCACCACTGAGCTTTAGCTCACCCCATGTTTATTTGTTTCCCTTACAGGATGGGAAGTTTGAAAGTATTTGAGCAGCTTATATTTCCTATGGTTGTACTTGAACAACTTGAATTTAATTTTCGGTTTGTAATGACTTCTAAGCTAAGCTTTGTACCTTTCATTTTGGATTGCCACTTGAAGCTGGAAAAGTGTAATCCCTAATTCTAATATTCGGTATGTATGTTTGTATTGGTATAATATATCCTTAACCCTTGCGAGCGACGCGTGAAGTGTTTAAGAGCCGTCGATTGGCTAAGTTATATGCTGTTATCTTTGAAGTTAATGTGGTGATAGAAATCGATTTATTTCGGAAGAATCATTTTTGTAATAGCTTAGGTTAATCGTCGGAAGGTTTTGGGTTAGAATGCTTGCGTGAGTCCTGGTGAGAGCTGGGCAGACGGCCCGCCAACCCTTTGGTTCGCCTTAGGGGGAAGTGGGGTCGCCACAGATAGGTCGGATGAACAATCAAGGGCAATCACGAGATTGCTCAAGAATCCTTGCCAAAGCAAGTAAAAGGATTCGAAACTCTCAATAATGGAAGAGAAACAAAACTGAAACTTTTATCATCAAAGTACGTAACCCTTAACCTTACAACTTGAGCCTTTTTATAGGCTAAGGAACTAATAAAACCCTAGGCTAGGGAAGGGGAAAAGGTTCGGCCAAGCTAGGGCTAGGTGGCAGTCCCCTTTAATTGGAAAACCGACAAAAGGACTAGCTAATGAACTAAGGCCTAAACTAACAATCTTCACTTAATTCCTCATGGGCTTGGATCAATGTGTATACGACTCGATGATCGACTTCTAAGCTTTCAATGTTCCTATGGATCCCTTGTTGGTCCTGAACATTTCGAACAAGGGATTGGAGAGACTCTTCGAAGTGCTTGGCCCGTGCACGTGTAACAGAGCCCAATGGAACTCGTACTTGGTCTTCACCATCTCCATTCGTGCACACATCAGTCCCCTTCACTTGAGAATGATTTGTCCTCAAATCTAAATCCTTCTCGTCAAGTAATGGACTCAAGTCCACGACATTGAAAGTCGCGCTAACATTGTACTCCCCAAGTAGCTCTAATTTGTAGGCATTGTCATTGATTCGTTGGAGCACCCGAAAGGGTCCATCACCCCTTGGGGATAGCTTGCTTTGGCGTTGCTTGGGAAATCTTTCTTTTCTCAAGTGTAGCCAAACCCAATCTCTAGGTTCAAAGGTCATCTTGCGACGATGCTTTTTAGCTCGCTGGACGT